TGCCTTGAAATCACACCACTGTGTCAGAAAACTGCTTCCTTTCTCTGGTTATGGGACGTTGTTTCTGGAGATAGGCACACACACTACTTCCTGTCCAGGACAGGATCTCACCTTTCCTCTCCCTGATGATGTGATTGTGGGACACTGCCTTCTGGGACTTGGAAATAACTAAAAAATAATAACTTGAACCCATGCTCGAACCCGTGCTAAGAAAAGGATGCTTTTTTTGGTGCCTGGTTCTCCTTGTTCTCATTTTGCATGACTGATGCCAAACCCTTTCTCCTCCTACTCCCTCCCCATCTCTCTCTTCCTCATCTGCTGTTTTCCTGTCCGAACTCATGATCCTGCCTCCACTCCCTTCCAGTGAACCTCTCACTCATGCTTGGAAACTCTTCAGGAACTCTCCTACCGGGATCCCCTAATTTCCCCAGATCCCCTACCAAACCCAAACCTGACTTGGTTTATGGATAGAAGTTCAACTCTCACCCCACAGGGCAGGTTATGCCATAGTGTCTCCCACAGATGTCACTGAGTCAGGATCCCTACCACTTGGAACCATATCACAAAAAGCCAAACTTGTGACACTCACCAGGGCCTATTTAATTTTAGCCAAGGACGACCTCTTCCTCCAGCATCCCTCCCCTCTACATGACTATTTACCTGCCTTCTCCCTTCTAAGGAAACTACTTGAGGAACATGCTGACAGGATTATTCCTCAGGCTTCTAAAAGCCAAATTGACCACCCACTTCAACCTGGAGATCATGCTTACCTGCAGGTTCACACCCAACAGAAAGGAGTGAAGGAAACCCTCCAGCTACGTTGGACTAGTCCTCACCTGATGATCCTGTCTACCCTGACAGCAGCCAAGCTCTCGGGACAACCTGGTTGGATCATCTCTCCAAATTAAAACTGCCCAAGGAACACAACAAGTACAAGGCCACCAGTATTTGGCCTCTTAAATTAAAAATCTTGAGGACCCCTCCTTTAACACCAATCCAGGAATGAGTTCTACTGACCCTATTTCTGTTCTTCCCTCTAAACCCCACCTCAGCCAGTCCCCACTGCACCTACCCACCGTGTTTCTATAAATTTGAAATGAGACAAAGATAATATATAGATAATCTTAAAGTTTCTAAGGTCATAGCTTAGTCAACTAGTCTAAGAATGTCCAGTCAAGGTTTATTTAAGGATGTTGCCTAAGCTCTATCTGCATAGCACATGGTAATTAAAAGCACCAGACTGGTGTAACTAACCTTGTTGGATGTTTAATAGCCAGACTCTAAGGCCTATATTAATCTAGTCAGAGGGACTTAAAGGGATAAATTTTTGTTCCTTGCCCTCCAAGGTCAAACAAGTTCTAGGGGCTACAGAGCATCACTTGAAATGCCCTGTAACTGTGGTGAGTCACCTGTCCTCTTGTTCAGGGTGCTTGTTCAGGGAGGCAATGGAGACCCCAGAAGATGGACTTGAACCAGTGTCCAGTCTGCAAAGAGGAGGGTCAACACAGAGGAAACATTTCCTCCATGCTGCCAAGCGAAGCCCTGGTCGAGCAGGACCTTTGACTTATCTTCATGCAGATGGAAGTAGTAAAGGAAAAGTCTGAGGAGCTAGAGGCTAACTCCAAGCTCATGTGACCCCTGAGGACCAAAGAGTACGACCTCATACACCCTTAAGAGTAAAAATAAATTGGTTTATTTGGGCCAACAGTATCGTCTTAAACACCCAAAAGGAAAGTATGACCAAAACTTAAAGTCATCAGTACATTTTAAGGGATTATACAACTCAGACATTAGACTTAAGTTCTTATGTTAGCTAGACAATTATCTCTCATTGATGATTTTGTTCCTAATATGACAATGCTACTCAGATACAAGACTTCAAATCTTGGTCTGCAATACTGTAGTGCCCACCTACGGCTAAGGAAGACAACCCCCTATTATTCTTAGCTAAAAAATTAAATGATGGCTAAATTTGTTTTTTCTCCCTATCTAGAAGCCTTTGAGCAGTAACTGACTCTGATTCTAGCCACCCCAACAGCTATCAAAATGCCTGAAAACAAATCCCGAGTCCATCACTCTTGAGTTCAGCCGAAGACGAAAGGAGGAGGAGGAGGAGG